TCTGATCAAGTCATCGTATATGCGCTGCTGTTCTTCGCTCATCTTACAGCATATGACACGTTCAATCTTCTTCGGTAAATAACTCAGCACCTGCAAATTTCACTATTCACTTCATCTTTAACGAATCCAGTTCTTCTGCTTTCAGTAATCCATCAATAGCGATTACTGAATAATTACAAATTCAAACTGATCAATTCAATTTCAGCGAGCCAAATGAATAGCCAACAATTGAATGAATGCAAATATATACATTTATCTTCAATCTCCTCAAGATATACGGCTGCAAGATTGCCTTTGCTTGCTCGATTTTATCCGCCTCATAGAGAGATCCACTTTTCGCTTCCATTGCTGGAATTTTCTGCAAACGAAGTTTCTGGTGAAAATCACAACAAGATAATGAATTATAATCGAGAATGTTTTCCACTCAACAAACTTTAACAAGAATTTCAAAAATATTCTAATTGAAAAGTGGGAAATTCTAAAGCAAAAAAAAATGAAAATAATTGCAGCCAAAGAAACCTGTTGAAACTGTTGAAGCAATTGAGAGATATCATCACAATACTTCGTGAAAAGTTTTGTCATTGTAAAATAAATGAGCGATATTAATTCCATTAAATTGTTTTGCAATGGTGTACCCGTCAAAAGTATCTTTCGTTGACCCTACAACAACAACCACAAATTCATCATCCTTTTATTCGAATTTTGATCAATTCTCAGTTGCTGATCACTTCGATGAATGCAGTTTCACTGATAAAATGGAAGCGATCATCACTAATATCCGATGACCATGCGAATTCAGTGAAGAGTTGGTTAAATTCAACTTCAAAGAGGTTCAATCAGCTTCGCTAAAGATCATCAACGACCGAGAAGTAACCATCAGCGGTCATAACGTTCATCATATGGATGCAATGATTCATTTACTCACCCTAACTTTCATGAGATTTTTGTAACGTTCTGTATGACAACTCTTCAACAAATGACCCTCATCGTAGATAACGTAATTGATTTTGAAACGTTTGAAAAATTTTCGATCTTGTGCTCTTGAACCAATCATGTTGTACGTAGTTAATAGCACATCGATCTGAAAACAACAATTCTGTGAAAGACAAATAAAAGCTGCGGCACTGAAAAAATCATCAATGCCATTAAATTATCCAACCACACAAGATGAAACAAAACAATCCACCATGTAACAAAAACGTGCACAAAACGGTTCCGAGTCTAGTTGCTGCCGGATGAAATCTTTACTCGCATAAAGAAACGAAAATCCTCAGACAATGACATAAACAATTCTAAGACAATATTTCAGCAATACATTATCAAACAATTGAACTCGTTTGTGTTACCGATTTATCAGTGGCCATCGCCCTCAAATGCCGTCGATCGTCCATACTTCCATAGTAAGTGAGAATCTTGATCGACGGTATCCACCGCATCAATTCTGCCATCCAATTTTCGATGGTTGACGACGGTACCACAATCAGATGCGGTCCAATGACGTTATTCTCTTTCAGATATGCCAGAAAAGCGATCACTTGAATTGTCTTCCCCAGTCCCTTGAAACAATCAATTTTCAATTTGTTGCAAATTCATCATGAAACTCTTCTTCCTCGCAAACAAAATTATTCTCTGCGACGATTTCGATGGAACACTGAACGCAGCATTAAACGAATTGATGAACAAATAAACATACCAATGAATAACTATATAATAAATAACAAACTGACATTCAGATAACGAGTAAATAAAAAACTGAATAAACTAAATAATTTGTGAAGTAAACAACAAAAATTCACCAACCATTTCATCGCCTAATATCGCGTTCA